TAACACTGCTCTGGACTCTGTGACAGCTTTGCAAAGTGGCTTTCTCTGCATTTCAGACATTTGCAGTGTATTTCGGTGTAAGCATATATATACTTTGTGATCTTTAAGACATTAATCTCAACCATTGTTATCTTATTTTGAAAAGAGGCAGATTTTACCAGTAGACTCTTGATGTCACTCATCCTGACTTTTTCCATAGCCTTTGTGCAACAGTCACTGAAAACAACTTCAATGCCATGGTTATTTTAGTTGCCATCCAGTGACTCATCTTCGTCTGGCTGTAATGGGATTTAAGGAGCTTTTAATGTTCTCTGCTGTGTATGGGGTAATTGCTTGGACAATAGAATGATAAGTATCTTCAACTTTAATATAGATAGAGATGTTAGATGGAAAAAATTAAAATGCATGGACATTTTGTATTTAAGACTTCAAATAAAAAGTACTGCATTTTCAAGAACAGAAGTCCTACATAGGGAAAATCAGCCCACAGTGTTTCTTCATGTGCCAAAAAATATCAGAGGAGGTGGAAGAAATTGGTGTAGCTTTGTTTGTAATATATATACTGGTTAAATTGCTGCCCCTTGCTGATCTGTCTAATCCTCTTAATGAGGCTGGGTAAGCAAAAAGGAGGCAGTAATGATGCTGACGACTCAGAGATTTCTTCGTGTGGAAGAAAACAAGCAGAAGATGATTGTCTAAACAGAACAGCACAGTGACTCTCCAGGTTTCCTTTGCACCTGTAAAATGGTTGCTGGATGGCAAACTTACCAAGCTCAGGGCTCCCAGTGTCCCTGTGTACAAGTGCTAGAATACAAATTTGTACATTGTGAGAGTGTGAGATTTGCTGTGTTTCAGCCACCCTTCAGCTTGCAGGATGCAATTTTTCTTAAGCCTAAATATGTGTTGGTCCTTTATGTTTGAAGAATGAGGCAGCAGCAAAACAGCTCAGAGGCAATAACCAGCACACAGAGACACTGGGGTGCTTTGTTCTGCTCTGATGAGTGGAATGTAACCCATCTTTCTCACTGAAACTGCCCTTATCTGAGGATAAGGGATGGTACTTGTTTGACACTTCCTAATTTATTTTGGTGTTCGATTTTTGGGGTTTTTTTGTTGTTTTGTTTTGTTTGTTTGTTTTTTGTGGGTTTTTTGTGTTTTCTTTTTTTTTTTTGTTTTTTTTTTTTTTTTTTTTTTGTTTTTTTAATAATGAAAGATGTTAGGGGTATGCTTTGTATTTAATTATTCCCCCATGTGAAGTTCTGGGACATTATCCCTTCACTAATATTGACTGTTTATTGTAACTTTTCATTGCAAAACTTGTAATCACTCCTGTTGACCTGGGGCTGCAAACTCCATGGATAGAATCCTAACCACTAGGTGACAGAGTTAAGTTACTTTCCTTCATTCAATGAGCTTTTAATTTTTCATGCAAATTGAAGCTAACTCAGCCAAAGAGATTGTAAAGATTCTGCCCCATAAAACAGGCAAGCATCTGTGGTAAGAAAAGTTTTGTGAGGGACCAGTTGAATTCCATCAGGCAGAGGATGGCTGTAAATATATATGTTTTCACTTGCTGAATTTACCACTAGATTGTGGTACAGGAGAGGAGGCAGCGGTTTGTCTGCTAGCTGTGCCTCCAAAGGCAGTAATAACACTCCTCCTTTAGCCATGCTGATAGTCCATCAGCTGAATCACCCCTCAGATGGAACAACTACTGGTGGAACCCAGCAGGGCTTGACACTCAACTGCCAAGTGATGTTAAGTATCTGTGTGCATGGCCAGAAATATTCCAGAGACTCAGGGAACACTCACATTTATGTTTGAGTCCCCCGATGGAATTAATGGTTTATATGCCAAGAGGGGAAGGAGACAGGCAGCAGTTTTACGTATCTAGGCTTCAGGGTAGGGAGGTAAATACAGAGAGAAGTGAAATGTATATGCCCCAACCCTTCTGTGCATCTGGTACTTAGAATCTATTTCACCTGAACAGTATGGCCTTCTGACATTGCAGCCTCATGCCATGAAAACCACAGTAATAAATGTTTGGTGCCAGCTGTACAAGTTACACAAAGAAAACTAGTTAGAAGAATGTTTAGAAAGTTTAGAAGATATGAATGATTTCTGCAGGGCATTATTTTTTTCACCTGCAAGGCTTAATTAGTAGGGTTCCAGATTGTAACGGTACAGTGCTTGAAAACATGTTGGTTTATATTGAGACAGGTGTTTTTCTTAATGGGATGCAAGTTTTGATGATACAGTGAAGTTGTTGAAATATCCAGCAGCACTTCCCGAGACAGCCCCAGCTCATGCACAGTGCTTTGAATATTGGAACCCATTTTGTTGCAGGCCAGGAAGTATCACATTTGACTTCCTTCTCTTCACACAGATCTTACGTCAGATTTATTTTTAAATTTGTCACTATAGAAATCTACACGATCTCTACCGTAATCTTGAATAGTTGTAGCAGGGTCAGTACAATGCATACTCAAATGTACAAGGTAGATGGCAATGTCAGAGGCAGCACTGAACCTCCCCCGTGCTTTGCCTGGGGAGCTGTTACCCTGCTATACACAAGGAACAGAACAGACCCCAGTGCATTTCACAGTGCAGAAGGCTTATATGCTCTGAACTGAGCACTGCCTAGTATTTTTCACTTTCCATCCACACGCTATAAAGCAAAAATGTTGGTATACATATTTCTAGCAACTGTGAGTTTTTGCACATTGGTAAATACCATAATTCTCTTCTGCTTGTCAAGATGTACTACTTTTGAGTGTGGGGCTTCAAAGGAGGCCATTTAGAAACATGATTTTCCAATCTGGATTCACACTTATGTACCCCCCTAAAAGCGAGTCACTGAGACTGCAATTTTGAAATCCTGCTAAAAAAAAAGCAGTATCTCTCTCTTGACATGTCTGTGCACTAACTGCTGGAAAACAGTTAAATCATGGGAATATTTATAGCACCAGTGGGAGAATAAAGTTAGTCCCTTAACTGTGACAGAGCCCATTTCAGTCCTGTCAGCTGTCTCTGTTCTTAGCTGAACATCAGAAAGCAAGTTCCATTCAGTGGTAACTTTGTGCTGCTCTCTGCTGCGAGCTGAAGCTTCAGTGAGTGTTAGTGTGAGTCTCTTATTAGACCCTTCTGTCTGTACTGGCTGCAGCTTCCTGCTTTTGATCCCTGGTCTCTTGAATCTGACATCCACTTGTCCTCTTGATTGTGAAATGCTTCATGGAAGTTTTCCAGTCCATCTGTGTGTAGAAGATTTTAAGTGTATGCTAATTTAATTGTAAATTATTGACAAGATGAATACGGAAAGATCTGTTTGTATGCTTTTGATACTGGAGAAATCTGATCAGATATTTTCCATCAAGGAAGCCTCCTGTCCTGGTTTCCCCTCTTTGTATGCTTCATTGAGACTATATCCTGCTTGGCAAGTGGTCTGAGAAACTGAGAACTAGCCCCCACAATATCCATAGCTGCACATACATGAGGGGTACAGTCAAGTTTAGGCAGCTCAGGCAGACTCATTATGTCGGCGTTTGCACCTTTAGCTCTTCAGTGGCAATTGTAAATTCCTTTCCTGCAGTTTAGGATAGAGAGGCTCAGTGAATGTGTTGTGAAACATGCTGAAAAGCGCCCTAAGAACAGTCTTTAAGCAAGGTGGATATGATTAATTAAAACCACAAGTGAATTTCCTTAGCTAAACCTATCAGCAATTGTTCTTTGACCTTTCAGTTACTGTGGGTTGTTATTAGGATTATTTTTAGGATGTTATTAGGATGATTGTCACTGTGATTAAGGGCCCAAAGCCATTTTCCTCCTAAAAGGATAACATACTCTTTTTATTTTACATTAAGGAAATCACAGACCTGTCAAATCTCGCAATTGCTCAAAGGCTCCTGTCTGCTCCTGCCATGGCACTGCATCTCATTTTTCTCACCTGACTGTCCTGTGCCTTAGCCATCCACCAGAAACAGCCTGTCCTTTCTCCTGCTTTGTGGAGGCTGATGATGGAGGATGTGCAGGACCAGTGTGACCTGCAGTGTGCCTGTTGTGGCACCTGATGTGTGGGTTGGTAAAGAGGCAAAGCCACAGTACAATGTGGAGCACAACTACACCCTCTCATGTGATCCAGCATTCAGGAGCCTTTTGCCAGGGTCTTTCCCTAATCTCCTTTGTACAGATCCTTGCTAATTATCTCTGTTGTAGACAATATAGTTTATATTTCCATCCTGCAAACTGATCTTGTGCAGACTTTTCTAATGTATGAGAGCTCAAAAAATATTTTTTTCAGGTCCAGAGAATATTGCACTTAAACCCCGAGTTCTTCCAGTTAGTTGCTGGAAATTAAATCCAGGCTCTTTGATTCATGACCATGTCTCTTTCCTGTTATACCTGAGCACTGATACCCTAAACACTGAATTTTGGAAATTTGATTCTGAACTTCACGGTCTTGGCCTCTCCATCTGTGTGCACATACCCAATGTCCTTATATGCTCTGAACTGGTATCTCTGTTTAGGGACTCCTGTCTAATATTTCTGGGACTTGGAATTTGCTCTTTTAGATTCTTGGCAGAGAGACTTGAAACTGTCCCTCTGCTTTATTATTTTGGCCTTTAGCCTTTGTAGGGATATCTTCTTCTTTCCTGAGACTTGCCTTTAGCTCAGCAACCTGTGAGAATTCTGTTATTTTCTTATCTTTTGTCCTCTAGTTTTGCAGGGATTCTGATGTAGTTGTGATCTGCACAGGTCACTGATATTGCAGGGAATGAGATTTCTGAGAAATTTTGGTCTTGATGTTCTTTTTTCCATTTCTGTTCCCAAATACTCAGCATCTTCCTTTTTCTCTTGGCCTCAATTTAATATCTCATCAGCTTTTTATTGTCAACTTATTAATGTCTCATCAACACTTAATATCTTAGCAACTTCACACTTTGCGAACTTCAACAGCATTTTATCTACTTGATGATGTTGAAACAATTTAAAATGTCTTGCAGGTCCCTGATTCAGTTGCAACATCAGAGAATATCCATATGGAGAACATTTCCTGAAGAGGAATCAAAACAAGTTAGTGAGATACTGTCTTATTATTGTTTTTAAAACCACTATATATTCACATCCATTAAACTTGGGCATAGACTGCTGAAGTTAAAATTGTCTTTGTTGGAATAAACATTGTGGAAAAAATTTACATGAGACCTTTAACGATTGCAAAATGCAACAGATTTTTTTTTTATTTCTCTTCCTCCTGAAAAAAAAAAAAAGAAAAAAAATATTTGGTAACTAAACTTTAATGATCTGAACTCTTCCGTGAAAGTTTTACAGATTCTGTGAGCAGTGTCATATGATTTCTATTGTTGGGAAAATGTTCTAGTTCTATCATACCTAAATATATACCTATTCTATTTCTGAGAACTATTTTTTTCTTAATAGCTCTTTTTGGCCACATGTCAATGATTAAAATTGCTTCAGTCTCACTGAGGAGACTTAGTGAGCTCACAGAGAGATCAGAGCCCTTCGTCTGGTAGATAAAAGCACAGCTGTAAGAGTACTGCAAAGTCTAAGATGCTACTGAGTCCCTCTCTGACTGTCATTGGATTCAACACCAACAAATGCAGGCTTTCCAGCTGGCAATTAGTTCAGCAATTTGGCCTTAAGATGGGCTTCTGCTGCACAGTACTGTGAATATTTTGTTGGGGCAGTGTCTATAAAGCTAGACAAAGCTGGGGCCAGGAAGTGTAGCTTAGCTCATTTTCACATGGTTAAAAGCCACTACACTGTGTTTGGAAAGGACCTCAAAGATCATCTTGCTCCAACTCTTCGCAGGTTGGACACTTTGACAGGGACACTGCCCACTAGACCAGTTTGCTCAATGCCCCATCCAATCTGGCCTTGAAAATTTCCAGGCATCCACAGCTTCTCTGGGCAATGTGTCCACTGCCAGGCCAATTTCAACAGTAAGGAATTTCTTTTGTATATATATATTACAGTATTTAATTATTACAATTGAACTTGAGTGTTTTATGTTCTACTGCAATACATTGTAATGATGATCACTGTGATGGTAGTGCCATAATGAAGCCAATTAGCAACAAGGTGGACCAACAAAGAAAAGAACCTTTGCTATCAAAGCCTTACAATTTCCAGCAGTAATAAGGAAACTTTGTGGAAGTTAGTCCACTTAGTCCACTTACAAAGTCCATTGTCTTTGAAATGGTTACATAGTCTGTGACTATGCATGTGTAAGTGGAGTTTGTTCCTTTGAAGGAGAAAAGACTATGACCACATGGTCTTTTGCCTTTGAAGAGTTGCCCCACTTTGAATTCCAAATAGATTTTTTTGGGCCAAGATAATTTATTCCCATGGAAGCTCTGCATTTGCACATGGCTGCTCTGAGCCAAGTCCTTTCAGGCTTTTGTCTCAAGGTACTCTGTCCTGTACAATTCTGATCATGTGGTCATAATCCTGTGTTTCGGTACATGCTTTCCCTTTCATCCCTAAAAATGCATGGGTTTCATCTCAGTTATGAGGTGATGCAACAAATACATTTTGTGTCACCTCGTTAATTTGTTTAATGGTCAGCACAGCCCAGCAACGAATGTCAGACCTTTCGCTCTTTGACTTTCAGTTGCAGAGGGAAGAAGCAGAAGTTCAACATGTGGCATATCAGGGATAGACAGAGAAGCATAAGTCTAACTAGAACATTGTAGGTGATTTTCATCCAGTTCATTTTTTTAAAATCTTGACAGGACAGTAATGTTTTCATAGGTCTCTGATCTGCAAGTCATAAGTGTCAAAATGTATCAGTGTTCTCTTCCTCTGTGTTGTGACTATTAATTTATTTTTCTGCTTTTACAAGAATAATGGTCACCACTCAGCTGGGTTAAAATATAAAGTCATCTGTTAATCCCAGGTCATTTTTTTCCTGGAAAACTCCAGTTAAAAGGCTTTCTGATAGAGAATGAAATTTATAATATATTTGAAATACATATATTTTTTGTTTATTTTAAAATTTTAAAGACATTTGATGATTTGGAGGTTAAATTTTATTTATCCAGGAAGAGGTATGAGAAAAGAGCTTTTTATGGTATTGTGTCATGTGTGATTGTCTCTTGCCCCTGCAACTTGATCTTGGCAGAGGGATTTATCTGAGTACTGTACAGAGGCACTTGAGGTCATTTGGGATGTTTGTGTATTAAGTAATGAAACTCAGGACTTGAACCTCTGGGGTATGACTGGTCTGCACTCGCACATGCAGATGATGCAGAGATGCTCACCCAGTGTTCTGCAGAGCCCTTCACCAAGCCACTGTGCCAAGGAGCTCCTGGCTATGACTGGTGGGCAAAGAGGTCACTGGAGTGAGGCTTGGACTAAAAAAGGTGGTAGTAGTCAGTAGCCTGCAATGTGTCACACTGAAGACTTTTGTAGCACAATTATTCCCAGCTGCATTGCTCACAGGAATGGCTGGTGCTGTCAGATGCATGGGAATAGTCCTGCACAGAGGTTTGGCAGGACTTGTTTAGTAATAAGTAGCAATGATTCCTTCTGACAATGGGGAGGCTCCTGACAGGCTTGTTCAGAGACTGCTGCATTGGTTTATTCAGCCTGTCCCCAGGAGAGAATAGGACAGGAAGGTGTCCCACTGGGAAACCACAGAGCGCAGTCCTGGTGGTAAGCCTGAGCTGGATGCAGCCTTTTGTCACAGATACCTCTACTTAGACTATGTCCAAGCAAGGAAATGTGACAAGGGCTAGCAGTTTATCACCCACTTGGTGAGGCTGATAGAACTATGTGTTTGCAGTCAAGGCCAAGTCAGCTGATAAGAAAACAGCTGCATAGGTTTAAGGTATTATCGTTTCCTTGCTGATTGCTACTCTGCCAGCAGTTACTACTGCAGTGGGAAACCTGGCAAAAATAACATGTACCCTGCCTCTGCCATTTCCATCCACAGTCTGCCATCTTAGTGGAAATGTGTCCCTTGGTATTGCCAACTATCAGGTGCATTGGGGCATCACAGGATTTTGTTTTCAAATTTTTGAGCAGGGTTGAAGCTAACACTCTTCATGTTGAAATTAATTTTAAATTAATTGAAAATCATGTAAAATAAGGCTCTTTGTCAAATTAAATCCTCAGAATTGTGAGAAGTTGTGAAGATTTTTTTTCTTTATCGTAAAATTATTAATGGGTTGCAGACTGAAATAATGGATTTTGATACTTTGCCATCATAGATACGTGCTACTTGAATCTTTATTGCTGCAGATCAAATTCTTCTATGCAAATGGCAAAAATGAAATCCAAGAAAAGTGCCTTCATTAAGGTATAAATGAAGCCATTTGCCATATTTACAAAGACATTCCCAACCTGCTTTTGGCATAAAATGTGTCTTTTACAGCTTATCTTGGCACACACATCTTCTGCTCCTAATTATGAATGCCTTGGGGTGACACCAAATAAGCAATAATTCCAGCTGCTCCTGACAAAAGAAGACACTGCTGCACTGCATTATTTCTCTGATGAATGTATCTTCCCAATAAGCTGAAGCAGGCTTTGCATCAGCAACATCTGCAACAACAGGGAGTTAGAAAGTGGGTCAGGTATATTGATGGTTTGGAGAAGGAGAATGGATGAAGGAGGGTGTGCATGAGGTGGAACCACTTTTGCCTTTGTATTTTCCTACAAATACCTTGCTAATTGCTTCAGGTCCTCTGCTGGCAGCCACAGGGGAAGCTTTCAATGTAAAGTGCTTTACTTGGAGCTTCAGTAAACCAAGGCTGAAAAATCTGACTTTTAGAGTTAGTAGTAATTAATTTTATTGACTCATATGGGAACAGCATTTCTCCTTGTAATTCCTGGACAGGTTGAGGGCAGGATCTAGGTAGCACATGAATTGTGCTGTTTGCCCTCAGCACTGGCTCTGGAATTGTGCATGTGACAATGACAGCTTGAGGTGAAAAAATGTCTAAAATAATATGGCAAATTTCAGGAGGAAAGGGATTAAAATCTGGAGCCAAAGGGTTACAATCACCCAAGGAAAAAGGTAGATGGAGACCATGTGTTGTTTTGAGCCTGGTGTTAAAATACCAGGCAGCCAGGCAGGAGGATGTATTGCGGAAATATCTGCAGTGCGAAGTTTGATTCCCTGGGGTAAGAAAGGAGAGGGTGGAAACAGCAGCAGCTGCAGTCAGACCAAGAAATCTCTGCTTTTGCTGTTTATTTTAATAGCAATATTGAGTTTATGTTGTGTTGATGGCTCTGGAAACTGTCTAGCTTTCTTTTTGCTGGCTGGGCAGGGTGGGTATGGAGCATGCTCCCTTTGAGCTGAACAGTAAGTTGCCTAATGCATAATCTGTAAAGACTACCTTGAAGGAAGAAGAGTTGTGAAGGAATCACCTCAGCCATCAAATATTGTCCTTTGCAGTAGCAGGCAGCCTTTGATTAATGTTTAATACAGGTAAGTCAACAGAAATGCTACTCTGTGTATATCCTGGGAGCCACAGAACATCTCCCAAACTTGTAATAACAAAGAGCACTAATATAAAAGGCAGAAACACAAAAGCACACCACATGACAGGAAAAAAGCAGAAGAGACTGGGGCAATATCAGTGTGTTCAGACTCTAAAGTACCAGGAGAATTTGTCCTTTAAAGAAGTCTAGAAGGTTCTACAAAGTAAACAATCCATCACGTTATTGATAGAGACCAAAACATTCCAAACCTTTCTTTCCAATCTAATTTGGAAAGATTTTTTGGCTTCATTCCTGGGGACCAGCTTAACTCTTGGTGCCTGAGCAAGATGCATCTTGACTTGGACAATTGTTCATCCTCCATGTCCATTCTGTTTTTTACTGGCCTCTATCTTCTGAGACAGCTAATTAGATTCTGTTGTATTGATGATCTTAGATGTAGTGATAGTGAGACACACAAGAAACTGGACACAGGCTTTCAGATGCATCTTATGTTGACCATTAGCCCACTGTTAGAGAGAGTGTCAAATCTTGTAAAAAACAATATTCTGAAAATAAGCTAA